TTCCCTGCTCCCCAAGACCCCTTCCTCTTCCCAAAGTCACTCTATTTTTAGTGCTGGGCACTTTACTTCTTTAAAAAAATACTTTATTTTCATTATCATTATTTTAAAATTTGTAACAGGGCACACACACTTGCCAGAGAGAAAGGCTTACCAGAGAGAGAGACAGAGAGAGAGAGAAAGACAGAGCGAGTGAGAGCACGAGAGAGAGAGCAGGCTGCCAGGTCTGGGATTCAAACCACAGTTGGCCAAGTGGGAGTCCAGTGCCTTAACCACCATGCTATCAGCTGGCCTGGGCACTTCACTTCTTAAAATATAACCATAATCCTGTTCTCAAATCAGTCCATAGGAAACTTCACTGTTTCTCACACGTGTGGACTGTTTTGCCATGTGACTGTATTGCAGGATATTCGATTAGATGCCCACAGACACCTGCTTTGTTCCTCACCCTTTCCTAGTACAGAGTAGGAATGAATTTCCAGAAGTAGGACTACTGAGTCTCAGGATAAATCAATTTATGATTTTGTAGCAACGGCTCATTTGCTTTTTACAAAGTCCCATTCTGTATTCTCACTGCCAACATACAGGACGTAACGTGTGTCCCACAGTCCTGCTGAGTGGGTGGGTAAGCATCTGCAGCTGTGCCAATCTGATAGGGCTCTCCCGTTGTCTCTGTCTCTTATTTATCACAACATGCCATGATGGAGAGACAACAGTCCTTGTGCCAACCAATGCTCCACAGAGCGGGTGATCAGCTGAAACCAGCTAGGGGAATGTGACTGCACAGTCTGTGCCTCTTAGAAAGATGATTCAAAATACTTTGCTCTACTCTTCCCCTGCTTGTGATGATTTCTCTGGAAAAAAGAAAAAAAGATGCTACAACCACTAAGAAGCTTGGTGGGAGGGCAGAAAAAGCAATGATAGAAGTAAGGAATTCTACATACCAGAAATACTTACATATCACTGGAAGGGGTGGGTTTCGGTGAGGGGCTGGGTAAATTTGCTTCCATAATATCATTAAAACTATTGTTTCCTACATTCTTGGCCAGCTGTAAGAGAAACACAACGCGACAAGCTACTTACTACTGATTATTTCCTTTTGAGACTTCTGAGTATGTATTCTCCCCCGTATTACTCCGAGTATAAACCATCTATTTACCCGGTCAATAAGCATTTACTGAGCATCTACCATGTACCAGACACTAAAGTTTAATCCTGGAAACGCAGGGATGGGCAAACCATGTTCCCTTCCCATCAGGGCTCAGAGTCTATGGGGCCACTGACAAGAAATTCAATAATGTCTACAGACAGTGTACGGAGTGGACAATAGGATGGGATGGGTCTGACATACATACACCCTGTCTGGGATCAGGCAGAGCAGGCCCCAATGTGAGTCTAGGTTAAACTTCATGAACATGAAGAGCTTTTCGACCTGTATATAGATCCTTTTCCTGTTGAACAACTTTATTTCCAGGGACACACTTTGATGGGATTTCTTACCTCATCACCTGAAGAAGTTATGGGTCAAGGATAACTGTTTTTTACCACCATCATTAAGAAGACACTCCCAATTTTGTGTGCTATTACAAATTTATAAATAATAAAAACAGAATGGAGGAAACCTTTTGTCATTATTAATAGCATAGGCCACTAGGAAAGGAGAACATGTGAGCTTAACTGCCGTTATAGCGAATCATGTGAAAACTGTCCCCAAAGAAAAGGGCAGCTTTGAAGAAGGTCCTTCAAATACAAGATCCAGTCTGAGCTAATTACGGCAATGTGTGAATCGCATTGCATTACACAAGAACTAGCAAGAGTGAGCATTACACACCACAAAAGTTACATTTTAATACCTGTGCAAAGTCAGACGATTCAGAAATTAAATGATCTCACTCAACAGAAGTAAAATCCAGAAGCAATATATTACATATATGAGTAACAATAAATTTAGAAGTTCTCTTCCCAAATAGAAGTCACTACTTACCAAGAGTTCAGAAGTTCCTAATTTGTCTAGTTCCAAAGACTGGATGCGAGAAATATGAACCCCCATTTCCCTGTGGATGCCAGAACATTCTATACAGGTCAGAATGCCCAAGTTGGTGGAAAGCCAGGTGGGTTCTGTGGAAAGCATTTTGAAGACAATGAGACAAACAAGATACATGATTTTAGGGTGCCAACAGAGGATGCTGAAATATGAGTTTTTACTAGAATACACACAACTCATTAAGAATTATAATGTGGGAAAACAGAAAAGGAAGAAACGGATGCTCAGATTTATCCTAGAGGCTATGAAAACAGTTTCCCTTTGATGCTGAATTGGAAACAAAACTAAGCACGTTACCCTTCCAAACATGGGAGGAAGACTTTCTACGGGATCCGGTGCAGTATTCTAAGGCCCTGGGAATGGAGCTCTCGCATCTCACTCTCATCTCACAGTGATGGACACAGCCTCTTAGGTCCTGCTCGTCAGGGACTGGAGGTTACACCTAGCCCTGACCCACCACGTGGGCCCTGGCTTCTCCGGGAGCACCTCCCGGTCACAGGACAGGTGTACACAATGAACACCCAACATCTCTCTCAGGGACCTAAAGCTTCTTCTCTACAACCTTCCAGGGCAGAATGGTGGTAACAATTATGTGTATGTTATAAAATCTTCAAGGTTCGCTCCGTGTCAAGCTTCTTTCTGCCTCGCCAAAACCAGACTTCTCCTAGCCATTTCCTCACACTGCTTAAGTCATATAGTTCCCAGACATGAGGGTGGGAGAAGACCTGAGACATCTCTCTGAGGTGCTTGTATAATCTTGTGCAGAGTGGTCTTTCACAAGTAAAACATATCACAACTCTTTTTATTTATTTATTTAATGTTATTTACTCACTCATTTACTTTTTATTTGACCAGAGAGAGCGAGCGAGACTGGGGAAGAGTGAGAAAGCAAGCCACCAGGTCCAGGACTCGAACTGTAGTCAGCCATGTGGGAATGTCAGCCCCATTTCCCTGTGGATGCCAGAACATTCTATACAGGTCAGAATGCCCAAGTTGGTGGAAAGCCAGGTGGGTTCTGTGGAAAGCATTTTGAAGACAATGAGACAAACAAGATACATGATTTTAGGGTGCCAACAGAGGATGCTGAAATATGAGTTTTTACTAGAATACACACAACTCATTAAGAATTATAATGTGGGAAAACAGAAAAGGAAGAAACGGATGCTCAGATTTATCCTAGAGGCTATGAAAACAGTTTCCCTTTGATGCTGAATTGGAAACAAAACTAAGCACGTTACCCTTCCAAACATGGGAGGAAGACTTTCTACGGGATCCGGTGCAGTATTCTAAGGCCCTGGGAATGGAGCTCTCGCACCTCACTCTCATCTCACAGTGATGGACACAGCCTCTTAGGTCCTGCTCGTCAGGGACTGGAGGTTACACCTAGCCCTGACCCACCACGTGGGCCCTGGCTTCTCCGGGAGCACCTCCCGGTCACAGGACAGGTGTACACAATGAACACCCAACATCTCTCTCAGGGACCTAAAGCTTCTTCTCTACAACCTTCCAGGGCAGAATGGTGGTAACAATTATGTGTATGTTATAAAATCTTCAAGGTTCGCTCCGTGTCAAGCTTCTTTCTGCCTCGCCAAAACCAGACTTCTCCTAGCCATTTCCTCACACTGCTTAAGTCATATAGTTCCCAGACATGAGGGTGGGAGAAGACCTGAGACATCTCTCTGAGGTGCTTGTATAATCTTGTGCAGAGTGGTCTTTCACAAGTAAAACATATCACAACTCTTTTTATTTATTTATTTAATGTTATTTACTCACTCATTTACTTTTTATTTGACCAGAGAGAGCGAGCGAGACTGGGGAAGAGTGAGAAAGCAAGCCACCAGGTCCAGGACTCGAACTGTAGTCAGCCATGTGGGAATGTCAGCTCCTTAACCACCACGCCACCTGCTGGCCTGGTATATCACAACTCTAAACACCACATCTGCACCCCTATTCCGACACCCTACTAGCTGTGTGGCCTTCCACCATGGCCCAACCTCAGTCCCAGTTTCCTCATCTGTGAAATGGGAGGGATACCAGTACCCTGTTCACAAAGCTTCTACGAGGATTCAGTGAGATACATAAACAAAACATCCAGCACAACCCGTAGCACAGCGTACTAACGTCAGGTACTGCCAACACCGAGGACATGCACTGCAACTTGAAATCGGGTTTGTGAGAAGGCAACAGCCACGTGGTGTGGAGGCCAGGGAGGGAGTCACTGAGCAGAGGAAGGAGGTCATGGACCCCATGCCAGCGGACCCACAGGCACCAGGTCATGAAGTCCTCAGGAGTTTACTATCTGACTTTTAGGATGCCGAAACTGCAGATCAAAGAGTGAAGACTGCTGAGGCTTCAAGGCAGACCCGAGATTCAGACAGGTCCCTGCTCTCTCCATAATGTCCCTGGTGCTGACTGAACTGGACCTTCTGGGAAAGGGAGCCTCCACAGAGAAGGTGGGCACTTTCCGGGCAGGGGTAGACAGTAGAAGAGGGCGGTTTGTGGTGGGTGTCATTTCAGCGTGTCCACAGGGAGAGGAGGCTCAGTGCCCGGCTCATGTTATACCCCAGTTGAACAAGCTTGTTGGAGTAGGGGACAGATACCTGACGAGCCACAGTCGCAGCAGACGTCATTCCCAGGGATCCGCTGCACGTCCTCGATGATGGCTTTTGTCAGATCCTCCAGGCTGTTCTCCCCGGTGCTCTGCTCGCCCCGGAACGCCATGGTCAAGGCCTCTTCTTTGCTATTTGTCAAAACTGATATCCATCTGTTGTCAAAAACATAACAGGATGGAGTGATTGTAACACTGTGGTCGTTATTCCCCACCACCACTGCAAAAATCTCTCATCGACAAAGTCCAAAAATCCAAATTCTACTCCCTGCCCTGCCAAAATAGCAAGAAAGTGAGCAAAAATGGAAGAAAACTTAATCTTGAAGGAAAGAGAGTTGAAGAATGGAAAGTAACACAGGAGAAAATGAGAGGGACAGGAGAGAAGACCTGCTTAATGTGGATTTGCATGAATATTCGAGGAGCTTGCACTTCCAGGAGAGCAGAGCAGAGGGAAGGGAGTGAGGGGTCACCCTAATGGGGGTGAGGTGGAGGGACAGTGGAGCACAGGGCACCTGTCCTCGGACGTCCATGCCAGTGGGGATGCCAGAACGTGAAAATGGAGGGTACGTCACTAGCAGCCATAACATTTTATGCCTATTAACATGAAAACATGATGCCACAATACGAGAGGGAGGGAGCGAGCGATTGACCTGCGCAGCGTGCCTGCCACAGGTACCAGACCAAACCACCACCCTCAGTGCATGCATACGACCTCAAAACCCAACCACAGGGGATAATAAAACACGAAAGAAACAGTGGAACAGTTACACAGCCATCAAAATTTAAGTTTTCAAATAACTTCAGGATGTTATTGAAAATATGCTCACAATATAACGTTTTGTGAAATAAACAGGAAGAAAAAGAACCTGCTTATGACATAATCCTAAACTTAATGTGTGTACGTAAGGACTCGAAGGAATTTCACTAAAATAATTTCACTAAAATATTCTTTTTTTTTTCCACTTTCTTTCTGGCCAGAGAGTGTGTGCACTTGCCAGAGAGAGAGAAACAGAGTGAGAAATCTCCCCCTAGTGGGGTGTGGTCATGTGCCTTTCAGTAATTCTTCAAATTCTAACAAGTGTATTATTTCCATGAATGAGGAAAAAAGGGCCACATTAATTTTTTTTCCATAGCAGTGAGCGCATCTATACATGCAGCTCTTGCTTTTTTCTTTTTTTTGGAGAGGTTTTCTCTATAGGGCGCGTGTGCTCGCCAGACAGACAGAGACATAGAGACAGAAAGCGAGAAATCACCCCCCAGGGGGGATGGTCACACTGCAATCCCTTCTCCTCCATTCTCCTCTCAGGATCTTGGGCATGCACGCACACGCGCCCGGCGTGAGTTTTAAGCTACTGGTTCTGGGACGCGAACCGCGGTCGACTACGTGGGAGTCCAGCGACATAGCCATTACGCTAACTGCTGGTTCCCATTAATTTTTTCAAAAAAGAAAATGAGGGGTAGGGCCAGCAGGTGGTGTGGTGTTAAGGTGCTGGACTTCCACAGGCCGACTGCAGTCTGAGTTCCGGGCCTACCAGCTTGCCTTTCACTTTCCCTCTTTCTGGCTCTCTGTGGTGAGCTCATTTGTCCTGTAGCAAATGGAAAAAAAAAATAAAATAAAGGGGCCGGCAGGTGGTGTGGTGGTTAGGAGTGCTGGACTCCCACATGGCCGATGGCAGGTTGGGTCCCAGACCCAGCAGCTTGCTTTCTCATACCAAGCAGCTTGCTTTCTCATTTTCTCTTTTTCTTTGTCCCTCTCTGGTCAAATAAAATAAAATAAAATAAAATACATAAAGTTCAATGGAATAATTCTTAATAAAAAATAATTAAAATTAAAAAAAAGGAAAAAACCCAAGGGGCCAATGTGTGGCATGGTGGTTAAGGTGCTGGAATCACACATGGCTGGCCCCACCGTGGTTCTAATCCCGGACCTGGCAGCTTGCTTTCTTACCTTCCCCCTCTCTCTCTCTGGTGAGTGCGCATGCCCTATAGCAAAGAAAAATATAGTAATAATGAAATAAAATGAATAATTCTTAAAAAAAAAAAAAGGACCAGCAGATGGAGTAGCAGTTAAGGCACTGGATTCCCACATGGCCAACCATGGTTTGAGGCTCAGGTCTGGTGGCTTTACACTCATGCCAGGCGCGTGCATGTGCATGCTTAAAATCCCCAGAAGAGAAGGGATTTGGGCATGGCCATCCTCCCTGGGGTGGCGATTTCTCATTTTCCCATCTGTGTCTCTCTCCGTGCCTCCAATGAATACATGCACCCTACAGCAAAATACTCTTAAAAAACGAAAAAAACAAAAACGACTGTGGCCCCACAGCACGGCAGGGTGGTTAAGTGCTGTTCGTGGAAAGCCAAATCCCCAGCAGCTGGCTATGTTCAAGTGTGCCCAGGATCCTCACAGGATGGAGGGACAGGGAGAAAGGGTCTGCAGCATCATCGTGCCCCACTGGGGCGTATGTTCTCTTTCTCTGGCATGTGCGTGTGCCTTCAGACAATTAAAAGGGGAAAAAAAGGAAAACATTTCTAAAGCTCCACTTTCCTGACCTACACACAGACAGCTAGCGTGTACTCTCAGCCGGTGACGTAAAGGCTCAGAACCGAGTTGCTCACTGTTTTGGTATACTGTAGAATTTTTAAACGGATATAAAACAAAGCAGTATCCACAAACGGTTTTGAATAAGTTAGAACAAACAACAAAAACAGCGTGACAATCAATAACCAAGCTATTGGAGTATGTGACTGCAAGGCACATCGGGAACTCCAGGAGGCACCCACCTGCAGCGGTGAGGGACATCTGCACAGGGTGATTTTCTCCTGCCATGCGGGAAGCGTAGGAACTACAGGGTGAGGTCTGACACCTCTGAAACTAAGATAGCATTTCTTTCTATTATCTAGTCTCGAGTTGTAAACTGGAAATTGTTTTGCTGGGGTTCAGGAAGCTGGGTCTAACAGGACGGCTCGCGGAGCCTTTAATCCGCAGCCCTGATGCTGCGGGTCTTGCTGTTGCTGCAGTCTCCACCTTCCTGTCCTTGGGCATTACGACGCGTGGCTGGCTAACACCAACCGGCAACTGGGCCAATACTGGTAATTCAGATTTGGTGGAATAGAATGGCAATGTTTCAAAGGGGCCAAGAATCAAAGTGACTATATTTTTTTTTTTTTGAGAGGTTTTTGCTATAGGGCGCGTGCGCTGGCCCGAAGACAGAGACAGACAGAGAGACAGAAAGCGAAAATCATCCCCAGGGGGGATGGCCACGCCGCAATCCCTTCTCCTCTATTCTCCTCTTAGGATCTTGGGCATGCATGCACACACACGTGCCCACCGTGAGTTTAAGCCACCGGGTCGGGGACTTGAACCTCAGTCGACAACGTGAGAGTCCAGCAACATAGCCATTATGCCAACTGCTGGTCCCCCAACGTGACTATTTTTGTAAACATTTTTTAACTTTTAAATGATTGGGTTGTCGGGAAAGTTATGACATATTTTTCTATGCAAGAATGCATCATGACTTTTCCGACAACCTAATATTTTGAAATAATAGGCACATCAAAAAGTATAAGAAACAATGTAACATGTGACTGTATTTTAATACTTCAGACGTTACTTTGAGTTGCAGAAGACAAAACAATAAACTAGCACTGTGCTGGGAATATGACACACCTTACACTAACTCTCCAAATCCTCCAAGAAAGCTGTACCACTCCCACCTTACTGATGAGAAGATGAGGCCAGGTGATCCAAGGTCAAAAAGCCGGACCGGGCAGAGCCTGGGCTAGATCTAGGCCTGCTTGACTAAGCACGCATCTGCCGGTTTTCTGCCTCCCTCCCTCTGGGTGAGAAGGAATTTCTTCATTTACCTTCATCAGGCACTTTCACATGAGAAAAAACCCCAATAATACAGTCCAGCTGCCTGCCTGTAATCTGGAGGTAAATGAACAACACAGGCTTGCCTCCGGGCACGCGCTTTCCTTGCAGACTGCAGTTAGCTCAGTACCACTCAAACCAAGTCCCCCGTCACCACCGGCGCCCCGAGAGAGTTGACGAGAGTTGCAAGACACACAGCCACAGCAGCTCACAGTGTAAAACACACAGCAGCAGCCCTTCTGCTGAAGCGTGAAGCCCCACGGGGAGGAAACAAATATCTAATAAAGCCGGGGCTGAGTGTGCTGTACGTCTGAAGAGTAGATAAAATGGCGAAGGCTTGGGTTAGACATAAGGGAAAAGGGGTGAGGAGGTGTGCTCCTGCCTCCCACATACTTCTCCCATCTCTGCGGAGGGCTTCGAGAATGAGGAAGAGTAGGAAAGTGACACAGAGCAGGGGGAACGATATTCCAGGGTGATTTGGCAATTCTGTCTGGGTCCAACCGGATCAGTGCGCCTGTTTCCTCATTTTTGAAAAAAGGGAGAAAAGTCCCTACTTCCTGGGCTGGGAGGACCAACACCCATGATGGGCACTGAGCACAGCGAGGTCATCGTAAACATGAATGAATTTATTGTGAATATTACCTCTTCCTGACCCGGAAGTGGAGGCCAGCCCTCCAACTTCTCCCTTCTCCTGACTGGCTTCTAGTCACCCTCCAGGGTGCCCCTCTATCCCTCGATGTGGGGCCACCCCCACGTCCTTTCTCCTCCAGCTGGCTGCGTCTGGGCTGTCAGAACCGCTGTCCTGGAGTGCATTTCCAATCTTCCCACAGCTCCGTGAGCTTGGCCCAGCTTGGACTTAACCTTCACCTAGGAAGTCTTCCCCGATGAGCACCCTGAGAACCCCAGAGACTGTGCGCCTCAAGTCCGCATTCCCCTGTTTTTCACTGAACACCTGTACTACATCATATGCTTCTCTCCTCTTTCAGGATGGGCCGTGCAGGGGCCAGAGGTGGCATGCTGGTTAAGGCCCTGGATTCCCACATGGCTGACCACAGTTCGAGTCCTGAATCTGGAGGCTTTCTCTTTCTCTCTCTGGTGAGTGCTCATGCCCTACAGCAAAAATCATAAATAAATAAAATTAGATAAATAATTGTTAAAAAAAAAAAAAAGGATGTGCTGTACCTAGTTCAAGGCTCAATTCTCAGGCCGTCCACAGTGCTTGGCTTAGAGTCGGCATTTAACGTGCAGGTGAGTGAACAGACAGATTGACCTTTCTCCTTTTCCTTTGTCTCTCCTTTCTCTCAGCTTAATTTTTAACTGCCAGAGAGCACATGGGCTCGCCAGAGATTGACAGAAAAAGGGAGAAAGTGTTCCTCGCAGTGGGGGATGCTCATATCCTTCCTCCATTTCTATATCCTGTCAAGATTTTGGGCACCCACACACACGCACCACTACACTTTTCCAGCCATAGGGCTGGAATTCAAACTGCAGTCGGCCATGTGGGATCTGGCTCCCTTAACTATTAAGCTATGGGGGCAGGTTCCACTTTAAAATATTTATTTCCTCCATGAGTGAGAGCACAGTAGGAGGAGGGAGAGAAAGAAAGACTGCTAGAGAGAGGGAGACACAGACAGCACCCTAACAGGGCCTTGTTGCTATAGTCAACCCCCAGCTTCTGCCAGCCCCGGATCACAAGCACAGGTCTCCGGACTTGAACGGAGAACTTTCCCACATGAAAATGCCCCATGGGAGGTCATGCTTTACTGCTGCACCACCAGCCAGCCCCTCTCAGCTTTTTAAAGAAAGTTTTGCTGTTTCTCTCAGCTCTGCATCCATTTTATCTTGACCTATTCTCTTTTGGATTCCTTATCACTCCTCATCTGAGATGAG